TATATCAAAATCTTTTCCTTGCCTTTTTTAGGAACCTATATAGCACTTTTCACCTTACATATGTTGAATGAAAAATTCTAGAACATCGGCTAACTCGATTGTTCTCTACTTGAGGTGTCTGTTTGTCCATCGTCATTCCGCAAAACTTCCCAAGACACTGATAAAAAAAAACTGAAGGAATGAAATTTATGGCTTCAGTAGCTCCTTATCTTTGGGACGCACAGTGCACTCGATATCCATTCATATCTTAGTGGAAAGTTTGGGCGAGATGGTATCGCTCTATATAACCCCTCTCCTGCCGCTTGCAAAGACTTCCTTACAGAGTGGCGAAGCCCTGGTCGTGATGTTGTCGCAGAGTTCACGGAGCGTTCTTATATATCGAGCATGAACACCCTTTTGTCTCGACGCTCTTTGAAAGTATGGATGTGATTGATTGAACCGAATCCTCTTTCAAAACCCTGCCTGTTCGCATGGCTGTCCTTCGTCATATCTGCCAAACCGGCGATGACCTCAAAGAAAGTGTGGTCCTCTCTTGAGAACCTTTTCAGATCCCTATAAAATGCTTCCAGCTTTCTTGGTTTGTTGTTGGTGAGTAGGCAAAGAAGAGGGGTTATATAGACCCCCTTAGGCTGGGGTTGTGCGACGTCTTCTTGAACGCAAACGTCCGATTCTGTTTGTTGTCAACCTTTAGCACCAATCGATGTTCATGGTTCCGGGGAGCAGTTCTTTCCTGCACTCCAAGTGCTACGAATTTTCTTGTGTCGATGAGTCCGCGGAAGCTGTCTTAATTATATCTTGCATCATCAGATCTTCAATACACGCTTTCGATGCAATCGTTTGAGTATTGTGAGCACGGATCGCCATCTTGTTCTCATCTTCTCCTTTTAGGCTGCATGTTAATACCAGCCTCTTCCGAGCGGTCCTACCCTCCGTCACGGTATTCGGAGCTCTATCAGATTCAGGGGAATGAGTTTTTTGATATATCGGTAACCACGAGTAGCTCATTGGACTGTGATACAGGGGATGGATGAACATCGGATAGCTAACCAGGCTATGACAAAGTGGGGAAGGGCTTCTTTCAGTGAAAGCGCCCCGAATGGCCTCTACTCATTACTCGTACTATTTACTTACCAATCATTCAAATGAAAGCTCTGGCTAAGCTGATGTGCAGGATACCAACCTTACTCGCAGGTTCTGACCACAAGCATGCATGGACACATCTGCGAGTATACAGAAGATGTAAATTGACCCAACACAACA